CGACTCGACTCGACTTAGGTATTCACTCGATTCGACTCGACTCGACTGACATTTGAAAAAATCCTAACTCGACTCGACTCGACTCGGCACAGGTATTCACTCGACTCGACTCGGATCGCATAACCAAGTATTTATTCAAACAAAAAGTGTTTATAAATATAGTTTTATTTAAGAGCGAGAATAAATAACAAAATTAACAAAAGTCATAAGAATGAATGAAAAAAACTCTAATATAGATTATTTATTTGTTGTTTTCAAATGAACGTAAAAAAATTAAGTTGTTTACCGTTGAAGGATCGAGATTCGAGCGTCTTTGTGTTATGATTTGACCTGCGGCGCTAAATTGCCGCTCAACAGAGGCAGAGCTACAAGGTGCTGCAAATGTGCGTTTTGCAAGACGATATAATGTTGGAAAAGTCAATTGATTACGTTCTTGTCGCCAAAAGACCAGAGGATCTGTATATTCTTCTTCCACTGTAAGTGCAATATAATGATCAATCTCATCAGCAGATGCTGGTGCTGTTTCCTTCTTATCCATTAATTGTGTCATGAACTTGAGCTTCTTTGCAGGTGGTTGAATAATGTTTTCATCGGTTCTAATCGAATCATTCATCGTGTTAGAAGGTAAAATGAAATCTCGACAAAAATTATAGCAAGATTCGATTTGTTCTTTCGTTGCTCCACGCAATTGTTTATAATTAGGATGTAAAAAGGAAGCTCGAATATAATCGTCTTCCATGGTGAACATTTTATCAAGTAACTGCACTGCACGTTTGTAGAAGAATTTGATTCCTTAAAAAATAATTTAGATGGAAATAAACACAAGAACATTTATTTTACCTCCTTTTTCTTTTTTCTCCCCATTGATCATTTGTTCTCGAAGATAAGTAATACATGGTAAAACACAATAGAGAGAAGGAGCAGTTCCGATTTGAACTTCTTTGAGTACATTTCTCCATCTGAAAAAAAATTAGGAAATAATAGCGCATATACATTCATAAGCTTTTGTTGATAAAAATAGAATTATTATTTATTAGATTAAGAGTCAATTAATTACTTACGGTTCGAGGAAACGAATGAGCTTTTCGACGAGATCAAAGTTTACATTTTGCAATCGTTGTTTCTGATGACGATCTTTTAATACTTGTAAAAGAACGGACTCTGCTTGTTTTATGCTTTTCAACAAATCGCACAAGGACAGCCAGCGAACGACAGAACACTGGTGTAGTGTAGCAGCATTAGTAGAATTGTTCGTTGTTGATGGTGAACTGTCATCATTGATTTGTTCGATGTTGTTCTGCTTCTCACGTTCTAGTTGTAATTGACGATTGAGATTTGCCTGAAAAACAGAACTATTAAAGTGTTTAAGTCATAATAAGCGTCTTACCTTTTTAACATATTTCACAAGTGATTTACAATTTTTAATTACGTCAAGAATGGCTTTTGCAGACACTGGTATATCATCAGCTGTGGCGGCAGTATAATCGACTTCCTCATCATCGGCGTCGGTCTCCTCGTCTGATGAATCGTCTGTTTCAGCAGCATTTCTTAATTCTTCCTCTTCGTCTGATAATTCTGGTGAAGCTTGAGTAAGAGTTCGTGTTGTGATGGTTGTCGTTTCAGTTTTTGTTGGAGTTAATTCAGTTCGACGGACGCTAGTAGATATAGATAAGAGTTTCGCAGGAGAAATATTCTTTTGCTTCTTCTTTGTTTCTTGATAAAAAATTTTTTTTTAATATGTTATTCAGTCGATGGGCGACACAGAGGAGTACGTGGAAGGCTACCAATGCCTTTATAAAATTCGAACCTCTGTCAGTTATGAATGTAATTTTGTCCATAAGTTCTGTCAAACCAAAAATAGCTAATTCATCTTTAATAATCTAATAGAAAAGCGAAAAATTATTGATTGACATTAGAAACCAATATATTACCTTCAACACATTAGCAGCTGTTTTCTTCTTCCATTTGAACTCGGTGCAGAAAAGATCGAAACAATGGAAAAACCCATTCTCGTCAACAAAATGAACAGAAGAACCTAAGTATGAAATATGTCGATGTCTGTCGGACCAAATATCAGGGCTAATCGATAAACGATAATCTTCAGCTGCAGCGATTAATTTAGTTTTAAGAATATTACGTCCTTGTTCGGCAGCACGGTCGACTTCGTTGCGAACAGTTCGATCAGATGGAAGAAGATCGTCAATTAATAATTCACCTTGTGCCCGAAATTCACGACCTAGTTGAGAAAAGAAAATCGATCATTCAAATACAAGAACTTCATAGACTTACCTATTGTCAAACATTCTTGCAAAATATGTTTAAAGCCAGGATCTGTTACGATGGAAAATGGTCGCATGGAACTAGCCATCCAGCTAGCACATAATTTTTTTAAATTGTCTTTCTTCTTGGAAATTATTTTGGCGCCAATGGCATTACGAACAGGACTTGATGAACTATTAAATGAGAGTCGACTTTGTCGCTCATCCAGTGAGCATCGATGGTTGTTTAAATTAGTAGTGCTAGAATCGTTGAAAAGATAAGTATCGAAACAGACGTTGCAACTTGCAAAACCCCTGATAATGCTAAATTCTCCATTTTCTTCATTATCTTTTCTGGCACCTGGGAAACCAAATTTAGCCCAGCAGGCCGCAGTTGCACGTTTATTGGGGTTCGACAAAACCTTGTAGTGGTTCTTGTCGCGAATAAGCAGTTGTTTGATGCTGGCAGATGTGTAGGTCTCACGAGCAACTGAAGGTGATACCACCGTAGGACGTAAAACAGACGAGAACGCTTCAGACGAACGTTGTGTCGAATCGTCGTTGGTTAGATCGATTGACATTTTCAAAACAAGGATGATTGTAGTTTTTTTGTTAAAAGATGTTCAATGAGCGATAGTCCGTGAGATGAAAAAAATTAGAATAATTCTGCCATACGCTATACATCGATTGTTTATATAGGCTCACCATTGATTAATACAATATCGTCTATTAAGATATGTATAGACAATAATACAGTGAATACAATGAAAATTATTGTTCGCTATTTATTTCAGTCCATTCAACGCTGCCGGTTCATTGTTGTTTCACCATTGACACTGACTGTCTGACGAATTCATCGTGATGATCTAATATTGTGCTGTTTTAATAAAGCCAAAACAAACGAACATTTTTGCCGAGAAAGAACAAAAAGAATCACAAAAAAAATTTCTAAAAAGTCGAGTCTCTCGAATCAAACTCGACTCGACTCGACCCGGAAGTTCATTTCATTGGACTCGATTCGACTCGACTCGGAAGCAGGTTTCACTGGACTCGATTCGACTCGACTCGACATTTAGTCGAGTCGAGTCGAGTCGATTGGTCGAGTACTCGACTCGTTTTCGGTCTCTGATATATATATAGGAGTATAACATGTTACGGATTTCAAAATAAAAGCTAGTTTAATTTTTCCACTTCCTTTTGCTTTGTGATATCTTTTCAGGTGTGTGTATTTTTTTTTATTTCGTGCGGAAGGCTCACATTGCGCAAATCACTGAAGCATATCAT